TTGTTTCTTTCTTCTTCTTCTTCTTTTTTTTTTCTAGGTGCAAGTATTTGTATCTTCTCTTTAACGATTCATTCTTGGTCGACAAAAATTACGTATTTACTACCGAAGGTCACCCGCTGCCAATTTTAAGCTCTTGGCACGAGAAGCTTCCTGAAGCTTATATTCCCAGTAATTGGACTTCCCTTAAGGTAATTAATATGCTTACTGTCTCCACTTATATATTGCTAGGTTTCATCTCAATAAAGCACCTCTTCTAATTGCATTATGTTGAGAATACACACAGTTCATCTCTGTTTATTGAAATTTGAATTTTATATGAAGTGTCATTTACTCGTTTCATTGAAAAGGAAAAAAATGCTACCACTCGTTTTTCAGGATGAAGGTCAACCCAGACGAGCCAGTGCAATGTCGTTGAGAATATGCCCATCTGCCGTTCCAAACTGCAGGCATAATAATAATCATCAGTCGATTGAGAGTGTTTGTCATATTCCCGATTCACGTCCCGACCACAGGTGTTTGACTGACGAGGATTGTGGGGTTGACTCGACTTCTTGCAGGCGGAGATTGTGTAGTATGGCTGGTTATTGCGGTCTGTGGCGGACCGTATGAAAGTTTTTTCCGTGGGCGTGTAATTTTGACTTTTGTTAAAATTTTGGGAAATGAAATGAATCCCATTTTTAGTGAACCACAGGCTTAAAAGTTTTTAGTTCAACTCATGGGTTTGTTCTAACCCTATATGGTAATTGTAGGAAAGAAGAAAATGAGATTTATCACATTTATCATAGAAATCTTGTATGATGAAACTGTACTGTTATGTTCTTGCAACTGACTTTTTTTGTGTAGTCCCACAATACAAGGTTCATCAGCCATGACAGACATTTATGCTAGAATCTCAAGCCTCACATCAACAAATAAATCATTTTGTGAGAATATTTATTCCTTTTTTTGGATCTTTGATTTCCCTTTTTTTATATATTATTATTCTGATAAATGTTTATGCATATAGCTGCAATTAGGGATGGCAATGGGTGACAAACCCGCTGGGAGGACCCCCCCGTCACCCGTCCCCATTAGGGAAAATACCTCCGTTACCCGCCCCCATCACCCGTCTCAGGTTCAGATTTCCCCCAGACCCGGCACCCGTGTGGGTGACGGGTACCCATCGGGTGACACAGACCCAATTTCACTCGACGGCGCGGCCGCGGAAGCGGAACCAGCCATCTTGGTGGAGCGGTGGAGCCGCCGGTCACACGCAGGAGCTGCCGGCCTGGAGTGGAGTCTGCGAGTGTGTGTGGTGGGCGGGGGCGTGGGACTGGGAGAGCAAGAGGATGAGAATTGAGATTGCCTCTTATTAGTTATATATCTAGGGATTAGTAGTGTTGCTGCCTGCTAAGTCTTTTGGGCTGAGCCAAAACATATATTGGGTCAAATTATATCGGGTACATTATACCCATGGGTTAACGGGTATGGGGGGAGGGGGAATGGACCCATCCCCGCTAGACCCGATGGGGGGACTTTTTCCCCCATTAACAGATCCATGGGGCCAAATTTTAGCCATACCCGGCTCTTAATCGAGTTTTTACCCATCGGGTTTTGGGTTTCGGGGGCCCATTGCCATCCCTAGCTGCAATCCATCATACATGTGTTTGGTGATCAAATAAGTTAGCTTATAAGTTTTATGTATTTAAATAAGTTTTATTTGTTATGACAAATTTTTTAAAAAAGTTTGAGTTTATCGCATATGCTTTTTTGAGTGGCTTTTCAAATAAATTTATTGAAATTTTTATTTTAGCTAACTTATCAGTCATAACTCAGAAGCTATAAATTATAAGCTCTAAAATCACTTATAAACTATAAGATAGCTTATCAATTGTGACATAGTTTTACGAAACATATCATATGTATTTCTATGGAAATCCCACTTCTTATAATATTATTCATTTTTTTTAAAGAAAAAAAAATCTTTGTTTTAGCATCTTCTTTCTTTTTCCCCTTACAATGTTAATCACAAACGTAATTCCCACCATCATAATTTGTTTAAATATTTAATTATTTAGTTTTATCAAATTTTAAAATTTTTTTTTTGAAAAAAAAAAAACAAACTAAGGGGAACATTTAATACATACCCAAGGCCTTATAAAGTTTAGAACGGACTGTGAATAAGAATACTGTTAGGCAGATATACTTTTCTCAGCTGATGTACATATTTAGATACTGAAATGTCATACTATAAAAAAATATAAATAAAAGTAAGTATTTCATATGATAAGTATGCATTTTTATTAAAAAATTATTACTCGGTAGAATGAATCATATAAATTTGGACCAAATCCTTTCCAATCCGCTATAAACATATATAAAGTTTTTCACACCGCTGCTGATAATTTAACTTTTTTCACGCCAAAAGTACAAAAAATGAGCGAATATAAACCGTATAATAGTCGCATATCAATTGCATGATAATCGCAGATCCATCGTACAATAATTTCTTCGCACTTTAACTTTTTCACCTCGAGAAGTGCGAAAGTGTTATGTAAATGGAGCGCATAATTATCGCATATCTTGATATCCATAGTACAGCTGTCGCATATTCATCGCATTATATCTTCACACTTATTGGAATGAAAAAGTTAATTTACCAATGGATGATGGATGGAGTGTGAAAAAATTTAATACATTTTAATCGGTGAGATGAAAAATGCAAAGTGTTATGTGAATGAAAATTTTAATTTTTCAAAAGTGTGAAAAACTTAATACATTTTCACGTTGGAAAAGAAACAAATACTAATTTTACTAACAACCGAATCCAATCTAAAACAGACCCGACCCATACACCATCCATTAACATTTGCCACCCAAACCACACACTATATCCTCTCCCGCTCCCTATGAATACGCTTGTACCAGTCAAACTCCTTTTCTTTTCACGACACAACTCCG